AGTTACCTATCCTTTAAACGCCATGTGCCGTGTAAATTGTGTAATTATGCGCATATATATATATATATATATATATATATTTATTTATACCACCATGGACTTTCACCTGGAGATTTGTGGTGTTTTTCTACAGAGGAAGCCTTTTAACAACAGAAAATTATCCAGTAGCAAATTTTCCTAGGGAAATTACTATATTGTTGCAACAAAAGGGCTGGCAAGTGACTAAATGTTCATCCCCTTTTGGTTAGCGTTGCTATCACTGTAGCTGTGCTGCCTTAAAATTGAGAGCTGAGTTATGGACTTAGTCATTGAATGAGCGTTAGACTTAATTCCTTGAATCAGCGTTACGGGCAACTTTGGGTTTAATGTGAAATCTACATAATATATGCAGTATACTCAGATTGAACATAGAAGTTTAATTTTTTAAATAAGCCCACAACCTAGATGCATGGTTTCGGCTCACTGTCCTGTCTCATTCATGACTTTATTACCTGCCCAGCTTACAGATACATGCATTTGAATTTTAGTAGTCTATAATGATACTTAAAAATCCCACATATGTGAGTTATATATGCAATAAAGAATACGCCTTGCTGATTAGCCACACCCAGGCAGTTTAATATCCATGGTCTTCTATAATGTTTGTATCACATTGTAAATACTCAAAGAACTTGTTTTAAAGTTTATGCTTCCTGATTCTGTAATTTTCAGAAGAGGAACTTTTTGGAAATTAAGGACTATTGTTTGATAATTATGTAATTAAGCTTTAGCCAAGCATTAAATTAATTTTTAAATACATCCTTTGTTGTATTTTGCTGGTTACTAATTTAAAGCATTTCAAATGATTTAACATAGTGAGATTGTCCATGTGTTCCCTCCTTGAACCAAACAAATAATACACAGAGCAGTGTTATGCACTGTACTTGCTGTGTCCATTTTATCTTTATTTCAGGAACACTGCTTATCCCTACATGGTCATAATGGATGAATTTTTTGTTATATCTTAATGGCCCTCTAAATAGAAAGTCAAAACATTCTCAACTTCAATAAACATGCTACTTAGATTTCAGAAATGGGTTTGAACACTACAAGGTCTTCAATACCAGGTAAATTTAGCATAGAACTGTGCAAATATATGACATAAGTGGTTTTCATATCTCAACCAAAAAATATTCATTTATTTCATTTGAAGGGAATTCTCATTTGCTGTAACAAATTACCACAAATTAGGTGGGTGATGTGAAACAGCACATTTGATTACTCATTGTCAGAAGTTATAAATCAAGGGCTGGGGATTTAGCTCAGTGCTGGAGCTGCCTGATTCACAAGTACAAGGTCCAGAGGTTGATCCCCCGGTACCAAAAAAAAAAAAGTTATCATATGTAAGCAGGACCACGTAAAGGTTCTAGGTTCACATCCTTCCTCACCTCTTCCAACTTCTTGTTGCTGCTGATACTCCTTGGTGTGTGATTACATTGCTCCAGTCCTGCCTTTCTTCACGTTGCCCTCTCTGAGTGTGTCTTGATGTCCCTCTGCCTGCCTTCCTCTCCTTTCTCTCCTTTTTCTTTTCTTTTTTTTGATTTTTCTCTTCCATCTTTTATTAGTTGTTTTGTTCTTTCTTTTTCTTCAGGGTCTTGCTATGTAGTTCAGGATGGTTTTGAACTCACTTTATAGCTCACTTTGAGCTCACTTTTGAGCTCTCTTTATACAGACACTTGTGATTGCATTTAGGTCCTATGTGGGTAACCCAATAATCTCTTTAAGTCCTTAATCGTGTCTTCAAAGACCATTTCTACCTGAATAACCATTCACAGAGTTGAGGCATTCAGGTGTGGATATTTTTTGGAGTATTTTTGAGCCTGCTTCAGGCCTCAGTTACAAGGGTCAAGAACATGCCTTTATGTATACTCTTAAGTACACTCTGCACACCCTTAGAATCTGACTAGGAAGCTAGCAGATGCCTCAACCCAAATTTTAAGTCAGCCTACCCTAAAGATGGGTGTTTGGTGACTATTTGTGTAGCTATTTTCAAGCATAAAAGTATAAATAGGAAAGAGGGACAAAAAAAAAAAAATCCACTAGTAAAATCACCTGTATGTGTTTCAAACCACAGGTGTGTGTATAATTCATGAACAAAATTATTTCAAAAGGATTTGGAAAAGCTGTGGACTCCTAACTAATTTGAAGAAATCAGTTCCAATCTAGTAGTTTTGTCCTCAACTTCAGTCCCAAATCGAAAGGAACTAGAACGTGGAATAGGCAGAATATTTAGGAGTTTAGGGCCAGGGATTTAGCTTAGTGGTTCCAGTGCCTGCCTTGCAAGCACAAGGACCTGAGTTCGATCCCTGGTACAAAAAAAAAAAAAAATGTGTAGGGAGTTTTAGCGTATTCTTAGGCAAACAAGTGTGGCAGAATCTTGGGTTTGGATAATAAGCAGGTTTGGTTTCAGACTGCAACCTGACAGGCATAGTGACTCCAGTTACAATAAAAAGTTGCTCCCATGCATGGCAATCCAGTAACATCTCTCCTGAAGCCATTCTTTTTTTTTTTTTTTGGTCAGTATCAGGGCTGTAAAAGCATTATACTTAAAAAGATAAATAAAAATTCCATTCTCAGAACTTCTATTTCTCTTGTCAAGTGAGTTCTCAATTCAAATATGCTTTTCTAGGAAGAAAAAATAAGCACAGACTAGTTTGATTATTTTAAAATTAATTTTGAGGCAGTTGTGGGCAACCACTATGAAGAATTAAAGTTTAAGAGTGCTAAACGATAGCTCAGTGTCACTGTGCCTGCCTCGCAATCTCAAGGTCCCGAGTTTGATCCCTGGTACCAGGAAAAAAAAGTGCTAAAACTCAACTAAATGCAAGTGCTTTTGAATTTCTTCTTGATTTGGGTGTGGCTTCTTTTCTAATGTATTTGAGTCCTGAAAACAGGGTGGGTTGTCTTGCTTCTGTAAAATGGAAAAATGTTAAGTCATGAGAGGGCATGTCTAAAGGGGAAGCAACTGCAGCACACACGCTAAATTTAAGTTCTGCTTTTGCTGGCAAAATAGAAGAGGAAGAGGTAAAGAAAAAGCAAAGGCAAGTGGGAAAAAGTTTCTCAGTGCAAGGATTTTCAGTTTTCAATTCCTTTTCACCTATGGCTTCAACTTCATTCTCATTTAAGTTCTGTTAAATGAAGACAACATATCTTGATCAATGACTTGTTGATCAATGATGAGAGGATTTGTTGTAACTAGATTTCATGTTTGGTAAAAATTATCATTCAGTGACAGTTTTTTCATTAAGTTGGTACATTTTAGGTATACATTATGATCACATTCATCATTGGGAATTTGTACCTGTACATATCTTAGTTTTTGTTTTTTCCCATTCCTTTTCCCTCCCATTCCTTCATCTCTATTTACAAAAGCTTTGTTTCCGTCTTTTCTCATTTTTTCTTTCCCTTCTTTCCCTCGCCCCCCCTTCCTAGTTGTCCTTCCCCTTTGAACTTTTTATTCCTATTTCACAGTCTCTATTATACATTTTGGTCCTCCTTTACGCTTTAAGTTTCTAACACCAGAGAAACAACTCAGTATTTTACACGTGTGTCCTATTTATTTCACTTAGAGTATGACCTCAAGGTGCATCCATTTAGCGATCTCTATCATTCTTTATGACTGAATGGTACTCCATTTTATATATTAAAAAAATATCTTCATCCAGTCACCAGCTGGGCATTTGGGCTGTATCCAAGATTTAAGTATTACAAACTGGGCTGCTATAAACGTGTGTGCGTGTATCTCTGTGGTTTAATGCTTTTCTTTTGGGAACACACCCAGAAAGGGAATAGCTGGGTCAAATGGGACGTCTAATCCTAGGTATTTGAGGAAGATGCACACTGATTTCCACAGTGGTTGCACCAGCCTAAACTCCCAGTTAACAGTGGAGAAGGGTCACTTTCCCCACAACCCTGCCAGCATTTGTTATTTGTTGATTTCTTGGAAACAGCCATTCTTTCCAGAGGTGGGATCTCAGCGTTGTTTTCATTTGCATCTCTAATGACCAATGATGAACATTTTTTCGTATGTTTACTTGGTGCTTCTACTTCGCCTGAGAAGTGTCTTATTTCAGATGCCCACTTTGGAACTGGGTCTGATTTTAATTCAGCCTTGAGCACCTGCTTGATGACTTCCCACTCTCTATCCTACATAAGCCAAACACTCTTTTCTAAAGTACTCCTGGGAGCTCCAGAACACACAGGACGGTAGAGAAGAGTGGTTTCAAAGCAGGCCATGATTTTTCTTCCTGATTGCCGAGCCAGAGCTTGGAATAAATACCTCGCTGCTCTCAGACACCATGGACAGCTCTTCAGGCGCAGCCCGCTCTCCTGGATCGCAGCCCCGCCCCTGTCGACCGTCTGGTCGGGGGTGGTTCTGACGCCCACGGGCACGTGTCAGCCACCAGCCCCCCTCATAGTTCTTCCCGGGAGTCCCTCCCTGGCGCCCACGGGGAGGCTGGTGTGCACCGAAGAGCCCACGTGAGGGAGCCGGGGAAACCAGATCCTCGCTCTCGCGGCTTCCCGGGAGCTGGGCCCGCAGCCACTGAGCGGACAACAGCGAAGATCGCCACAGGCGTCAGCGACTGCGGCACAAAGATTCTCCGCCGGCCGGGGTCCTTGTGGGCAGGGGCTCCCGCGCACGCCCCGCCCCTTCCCTCACGAGGGGCGGTCCTTCCGCCCACGGCGGCGGCGCAATGCGGAAGGGATGGGCC